GGGGGGCAGAAGGGGGTGGCAGGGATGGGGATGGCAAGGATGAGGTGACAAGATGGGGCTGGCAGGGATGGGGTGGCAGGAAGAGGGTGGATGGGACAGGGGTGGCTGAGATGGAGGTGGCAGGGATGGGGTGATAAGATGAGGGTGGCAGGGATGAGGTGGCAGAAGGAGGTGGCAGGGATGGGGATGGCAAGGATGAGGTGACAAGATGGGGCTGGCAGGGATGGGGTGGCAGGAAGAGGGTGGATGGGACAGGGGTGGCTGAGATGGAGGTGGCAGGGATGGGGTGATAAGATGAGGGTGGCAGGGATGAGGTGGCAGAAGGAGGTGGCAGGGATGGGGATGGCAAGGATGAGGTGACAAGATGGGGCTGGCAGGGATGGGGTGGCAGGAAGAGGGTGGATGGGACAGGGGTGGCTGAGATGGAGGTGGCAGGGATGGGGTGATAAGATGAGGGTGGCAGGGATGAGGTGGCAGAAGGAGGTGGCAGGGATGGGGATGGCAAGGATGAGGTGACAAGATGGGGCTGGCAGGGATGGGGTGGCAGGAAGAGGGTGGATGGGACAGGGGTGGCTGAGATGGAGGTGGCAGGGATGGGGTGATAAGATGAGGGTGGCAGGGATGAGGTGGCAGAAGGAGGTGGCAGGGATGGGGTGACAAGATGGGGGTGGCAGGGATGAGGTGACAGGGAGTGGGGTGATGACATGGGGGTGGCAAGGATGGAGTGACAGGGATGGGGGTGACAGGGATGGGGTTTCAGGGACGGGTCCTGTCCCACCAGCGCACTGGTGTGAGCAGCCCTGTCCATGCCCTCGTGCCGTGCCACCCCATGCTGTCCCCTGTGTGCCCCATGGGTGACAAGATGGGGGTGGAAGGGATGAGGTGGCAGGAACAGGGTGGATGGGACAGGGGTGGCAGGGATGGAGGCGGCAGGGATGGGGTAGCAGAAGGAGGTGGCAGGGATGGGGGTGGCAGGGAATGGGGTGGCAGTGACAGCCTAGATGGGACAGAGGTGGCAGCGATGGGGGTGGCAGAAGGAGGTGGCAGGGATGGGGATGGCAAGGACGGGGTGACAAGATCGGGATGGCAGGGATGGGGTGACAGGGAGTGGGGTGATGACATGGGGGTGGCAAGGATGGAGTGACAGGGATGGGGGTGACAGGAGTGGGGGTGACAGGGAGAGGGGTGGCAGGGAGAGCGTGGATGGGACGGGGTGGCAGGGATGGAGGGGGCAGGGATGGGGTGATAAAGATGAGGGTGGCAGGGATGGGGGTGACAGGAGTGGGGGTGACAGGGAGAGGGGTGGCAGGGAGAGCGTGGATGGGACGGGGTGGCAGGGATGGAGGGGGCAGGGATGGGGTGATAAAGATGAGGGTGGCAGGGATGGGGGTGACAGGAGTGGGGGTGACAGGGAGAGGGGTGGCAGGGAGAGCGTGGATGGGACGGGGTGGCAGGGATGGAGGGGGCAGGGATGGGGTGATAAAGATGAGGGTGGCAGGGATGGGGGTGACAGGAGTGGGGGTGACAGGGAGAGGGGTGGCAGGGAGAGCGTGGATGGGACGGGGTGGCAGGGATGGAGGGGGCAGGGATGGGGTGATAAAGATGAGGGTGGCAGGGATGGGGGTGACAGGAGTGGGGGTGACAGGGAGAGGGGTGGCAGGGAGAGCGTGGATGGGACGGGGTGGCAGGGATGGAGGGGGCAGGGATGGGGTGATAAAGATGAGGGTGGCAGGGATGGGGGTGACAGGGATGGGGTTTCAGGGACGGGTCCTGTCCCACCAGCGCACTGGTGTGAGCAGCCCTGTCCATGCCCTCGTGCCGTGCCACCCCATGCTGTCCCCTGTGTGCCCCATGTCCCCACAGCACAGCCCCGAGGTGGTGGCAGAGGCCGAGGGCTGGGAGTACGGGTCCCTCTGGGGGTCCCGCTTCCACCTCCGGCCCCGGGCGGGGGACGTGTGCCGGCGGCGCTGCTGGCACCGGCACATGGTGCCCACCCAGAGCTCAACCGTGGCTCCCCTCTTCCTCCTGGAGGGATCCCTGGTAGGAGAGTGGCTGGGGGGAGCTGGGGGGCACCGGGGGGGTCAT